GATTTGCAACCAGATCAAGGAGAGCGGCTCCAAGACCATACGCGAGCAAAGCGATGGCAGCTTGGCCTTCTCCTTCTTTGGACACGTGAGTAACCCATTAACAAGCCAGAATATTTCCACTCACATGCCTCAATCTTTTCTTTGTCTTTCAGAAAAACGGCTCCGGTCACGAGGTGTACGAGGTGCACACGGGCAAGGGCGATGCCACAAAGGTGCTGGAGATCCAGAAACTCGACGACTCACACAATCTACAGGTGTGGCTCAATGGCAGCACCGAGGGCGAAACTTCTGTCTGTAACCAGATCAACGGCACCGACGCCTCCTCGTATCCCCCATTTCGCCAGCGCGGCGACTCCATGTACATATTCAGCGCTGACATTTGTCGCTCGGTGCAGCTCTTCTATCAGTCGGACATACAGTATCAAGGCATACCTGGCTTCAGGTACTCAATCGGCGAGAACTTCATCAACGACATCGGGCCCGAACACGACAACGAATGCTTCTGCGTGGACAAGCTGGCGAATGTGATCAAGCGCAAAAATGGATGTCTCTATGCGGGTGCTCTGGATCTGACCACCTGTTTGGGTGAGTGAAAGCTTGAGATGATTTATGGCTAATGTCCTTTTTAGACTTTTATCTATCATGGTCTGTTCTCTAAATTGATTCTATATCTAAGCCTTCTCCCTTATCTAGTAAAGGGCTTGTTAAGGTTTACGCCAAATTCTTGCTGAAATCGCAACATTTCCTACGTAAAAACTTCTCAAATTCCTGAAAAATTACCTTTCAAAACTTTTAACTGTGATAAATATGTCAAAACTAAGCATCTTTTGAATTAAGTTATTTACGGAAACGAATTTTCTTCTAGATTAAATCTCTTGCTCAATTTAGTAAAAGATGTAAACAAAAACATAGCTACTAACCGTTTAATAGTTGTGTTTAAGGTTTCGCTTAAATGTTTAATTAATGCACATTAATCCGACCCCATGCGTAGACTTCTGTATTCATTTTGCTATCGGTTATGATTATATAAATCCGATTTAATTTAATTGACACCTTATTTATGTTTATAAAGTGAACATTTGACAGCTCTTTAAGGTATTTTATTTGTTATGCTAACGACCGCCAGGGCCATTAATATGGGCATTAATTAGACTCCCCCAACGAGGTGGTAGAAACCAGTTGACACAGCAAACTGTTCAATTGGCCATATTAATACTTAGCTAGCCGCGTTTGTCACAGCCAAAATTAAACAACAGATATCGACTTTCAGTATCGCAGACACTGGCAATAAAATATGTATAACGTTCAGGATTCCAATAAAATAATATATGCAAAAGCAATTCCAGAAAATCCGGAAATGCTTGGCATGATTATTTACGCCACGACCAAAAAATTAACGTGTTTGTTTAGCTCTTGATATCATATTATGTTTCATATGCAAATCTTTGAATAATTTAAACTATTTGTAGAATCCCCTCCCCCCCCTCCCTACACCTTTACGCGACATGCGTTTAGTTGCAGAAATGTTATAGTGCTAAATCAATGTTGTCTTCTAGGGTTTCGGTTTCTACAGCAAATGCAAATTTGAACAAGCTCTTCATTTAATGCCAATAGAAATCTTATGTATGCTAATCGGAGGCTCACAAACGCACAGCCCATCAATTTAAATTATGCGCTCGACAAAAATAATATAATTTCATACAGCAAATTCCTTTCAAGCATCTTTAGTGGCAATTTAAAGTTTTTTTTTCTAAGGAACTCAAACAAATTGCAGCTTCATTAGGAAGAGTTGTATGTGGGCCGTGGCAGAATTTGATCTTTATTTGTATACTCTTTATGAGGGTCTTAGAAACTGACTGAAGACTTGAATACTAGATCTACAGTCTCAAAAACTTCATTGTAATAATTTACGAATTTCTACTTTTGTCAGATGTACACATTATATACACATTTATTCTCCACAGCTCAAATGTGGTACATTAATCTGTTAATTATTTCCAACCTGTAAACCAACAAAGTTATGTCTTGAAATTCCGATTAGCAATTTTAGTTACCCCGCGGTGCCAGGCAAAATGTTAGTTCAGGCTTCAATTTCTACATCTTGTTCAAATATCAGATAACTATAGCAGAAAGCTAACTATCAAAGAAGAGTATACGAAGTTCAATGTTTCTTTTCTGGCTGCTGATATTCTATAGTTGCGTCGTTTATTGACCCATTCCCATTCCCATTCGCATTCGCATTTATTGTTAATTTCTTAATTAACACTTCCAGACAAGCAATTGCATGGGGGAATAAAAAGGAGAAGCAGCAGCAAGCGTAGATAATTTGTATTGCGCATTTGAAATGAAAAGTGTTGACGGCTGCTTTTATGGCTTCTGAAGTGCTCATCGGCTCATTATGATCTACTCGAGAGCCGCTCTACAAATTGAAGCATTAAATTCCATATGATTTTTATTATTTTATTATTTCTCATTTTGTTTGGGTGTTTGTTTGCCCGCCGCACGTTTCAGACTTGAGATTCTTGCCGCATTTTAATTGGCAAAACGTGAGTAAACAGTTTCCATAATGATCAGCAATTGGAAATATTTGTCTTTGATATTTGCTATGCCCACCAAATGAGGAAATTCTCGCAACAAATTGGTCCAGTGCTAATACTAAATAAATAAATATTAAATAAATAAACGCAGACATAACTTCCGTGCTAAAGAATTTTATTGTTAAAAGGCATTGCCGAGTCGGCCTACAGATCCATTGAACTTTACCTGTTAAGTAAAATTAAGGTGATTCGAATATATTTTTTATGACTAGCTGGTCGAATAATCCTGTTTTGTTTTGTAAACAATATTTAACAACTGCATTGGCATTTTAATTATAATATCATGCAAATCTTAAAACCATATAACACTTATGAATGCAATTATTTTCATCGCAGATGCGCCCGTCATCTTGACGCTGCCTCATATGCTGGGCGCCTCGAATGAGTACAGGAAAATGATACGAGGTCTCAAGCCAGATGCCAAGAAACACCAGACCTTTGTCGACGTGCAAACGGTGAGCGAGATCCTTGACACAAATATAAGTTTTTATATAAAATTACGTTAATGTCTTAAATATTGAATTATAATGTTGTAGTTGACGGGCACGCCGCTGCAGGGTGGCAAGAGGGTGCAGTTCAATATGTTTCTGAAGAGTATAAATCGCATTACCATCACGGAGAATCTGACGACGGTGCTGATGCCCGCTATTTGGGTGGAGGAGGTCAGTAAAAAGTACTCTTTCACACATTCGTCGAGCATACCCTACAGCTAACTTCTTACAGGGCATACAACTTAATGGTGAGATGGTGAACTTTTTCAAAAAGAAACTCATCAACACGCTCAAAACGCTGGACATAGTCCACTGGGCGGGCCTCTGCGGCGGCATGGGCGTGGCAATTCTCAGCCTCCTCTACTACACCTATCAACGGGGGCGGGCCGCGAAGGCGCCCGTCAAGCAGGTGGGCTGAGGCAGGATGTAAAATGATGGTATTTTATTATTATTGAAAAGAGAGAAAAATCGTACTATTATTATTACTACTATTATATTATAATATGGATGTAACAACACTCGACACGAATTGTTCACGAATTTTTGTATATAATTTATTGTTTAAATGTGATTTTATTATATTGTGATTTAGCGCGTACTAAAAACTATGTTTAAACTAAAAACAAAAACAAATTGTTGTCTAAAAACGAAATGAATTTGTTTTTATCTTAAATAGAAGCTTTAGGAATATGTAAGCTCTTGACGTATTTAATTAGATTCTTCCTAGAAACTTTTAACGAATTTGAATTTATTTAACAATCACTTCAACCGCAAGCTGTTGACTCCAATTCACACAGTTAAAAGCCATTAACCATGGCTGGACCGCAGCCGGCCCAAGTTCAAGATCAGCGCTTGGCGAGTGTCAAAGAAATACATAAATTATTCATTTAGTGAATCAATCAATGGCAGTTAAAAAACAAAATTAACAAAAAAATGAAAAAAAAAAATGAAAATAGATGTTCATTAAACACCCTGCGCAACTGCAAATTAAGGCAGAGTCGCTTTTAATAGAGTTGCTGAAACATGCAAAGAAAAAAGAAACCTGTAGATGAGAAGAGATGAGCTTGGGCAACGAGACGAGCGACTCGAGGATTGACCAAGTCCGATATGCAAACAAAAAAGCACAAATCGCTGGAGGAAACAACAAAAGCGCCAAGGTGTTTGCTTCGATTTCAATGCGATTGAGACACACACGCAGGGGAGTGAAGGGGCGCCAGGTGAGGGGTGGGGCACGGCGGGAGGGGTCTGCTACTGGGCCTGTCATTTGCTGTGACAGCCGCAACAACGCGACAGCAATTGTCAGCTGGGCGTGTGTGTGGCGTTTTAAAACGCGTCAAAAAGTCGCGCGTTTTCAACCAGTTTCATAAAATCGAAACGCTTAAATGTGGCTGTTGTCTAATAAATAATTGAAATTAATTTCATTAGCAAATTTCTAGCTAATGGCCAAAACTAAAAAAAAGCACCTTTCGCAGCTTTAACGATCTCTTTTACGGTTATCTGCCCGTCCCTCCCTCCTCCTCACCTTTCTTTGGGCTCTTTCGCACGTGGACACCTTTAGACAAACTGTCTGAGAGAACCTTTCCAATCCGTTCCTATGGACATGGTCAATAATTATGCAATACACAGAGTGCCCCACAACCAGTTTGCCATCGCTGTCGTCATGTGTGAATATATACGTATTCAAATCGGCCCAGCTCAGCTTTTTGTTTGGGCTCAAGATGAGACCCGCCGCCACGGGCCCGATCAGTCGACGACGAAACGCGCGAACGCACGCAGCGCCCCCTGAAAAGCCAAAAAGTGAAATATAATTTGAAATTCAAATTCGCATCGGTTCGGTACGGCTAAGGACTGTCCCTCTCTCTCTCTCCACGTATATAGAGAGAGAGTATATATAGGCCGCGTCGCGTAGTGTTCTGTGTCAGAGCATCGCAAGATGTTGCCAGTGTCGCGTCCATTCTCAGTGCTCCTCTGCCTGCTGCTGCTGCTGCTGCAGCTGAGCTTGGCGAGAATCTTCGAGCGTTGCGAACTGGCCAACCTGCTGCAGAAGCAATACGGATTGCCAGCTGCCCAGGTGGCCAACCTGGTGTGCATTGCGCAGCACTCGAGTGATTTGAACACGGCTGCCTTTGGCGGTGGCAGCGGACCGGGCGGCGGCTCGCATGGCATCTTCCAGATCAGCGATGTCTACTGGTGCTCGCCGCCGGGCCAGGGCGCGGGCTGTGGCCTGAGCTGTTCGCGTCTGCGCGACGATGACATTGCGGACGATGTTGCGTGTGTGCGCAAGATCCACGCGGAGCATCAGCGCATCTCGGGGGATGGCTTCAACGCCTGGCAGGCCTACAATGCGTATTGTCGCCAGGATGCGGCTTCCTACGTGGCAGGCTGTGGTCTACCAACTGCCAACTCAAACGCTGTGCGCGTGGCTGCCTCCTATCAACAGCCGATCAAGGTGAGCTATCAGTCTAGTCTGGTTCCAGTGCGTCGGCAGGGCAAGATCTACAGTCGCTGTGAGCTCGCACAGGAGCTGTTCTATCAGCACAAGCTGCCCATGCAGCAGATACCCACGTGGGTGTGCATTGCCCAGCACGAATCCTCCTACAACACGGCGGCAGTGGGTCGCTTGAATGCCGATGGCAGCGCGGATCATGGCCTGTTCCAGATCAGCGATCTCTACTGGTGCACGCACGATCAGCGCGGCGGCAAGGGCTGCCGCGCCGGCTGTCAACAATTCCTGGACTCCAGCATTGCGGACGATGTGCAGTGCATACGGCGCATTTACCAGGAGCACACACAAATATCGGGCGACGGCTTCAACGCTTGGACCGTCTACAATCGGGATTGTCGCAACCAGCGCTACGAGCAGGTGGCCGCCTGCTTTGCCAAGCCACCACTGGTCGCGCCGGCCACACATCCCAATGCCATTGGCGGCAGCGCGGGCAAGTTCACCTATGCCTATCCAGCTGCTACGACGCCCAATCCCTACTACAGGCCCTCCAACAAGTTGGTCAGCTATCCGGGCAATCCTTTCCTGCGCCCGCGCCAGCCGCAAGTTCAGCCGCATCCCAATCTAATTGGAGAACCCACAAAATCTCACTTTGCCAGCGTCTACAGCACGCCAGCTACTAATCCCTTGCTCAGCTTCAAGCAACACACAACACCCAAACTACAAACAACACAACAACACTTTTACACAACACCTACACGAGCTGGTAAAGTTTATAAACGCTGTGAATTGGCGCAAGAGTTGTATTTCTCACACAAGTTTCCCATGCAGGATATAGCCACTTGGGTGTGCATCGCGGAGCATGAATCCCGCCTGGATACGGCGGCGGTGGGTCGGCTGAACGCGGACGGCAGCGCGGATCACGGTCTGTTCCAGATCAGTGATCTCTACTGGTGCACGCACGGCGAGGGCGTCGGGGGCAAGGGCTGTCACATCGAGTGCGATCGCCTCTTGGACTCGGACATTTCGGATGATGTCAGGTGCATACGCACCATACACGAGGAGCACACACGCATCTCCGGGGATGGCTTCACTGCATGGACAGTGTACAATGGACATTGCAGGGATCGCAGCAGAGCGGAGATTGCCAGCTGCTTCGAGTCTAAGGAGCTGGAAAAGGAACCGGTTAGGCCAGCCAAGCCGGCAGACAATGAGCTGGTGAGGAAACCCAAGCCCAAGGGCAAGATATACAATCGCTGTGAGCTGGCGCAGGAGCTCTATTACAAGCACAAGATGCCCATGCGGGAGATACCCACCTGGGTGTGCATTGCCCAGCATGAATCCTCCTACAACACGGCTGCAGTAGGTCGCCTGAATGCCGATGGCAGCGAGGATCACGGTCTGTTCCAGATCAGCGATCTCTATTGGTGCACGCACGGCGAGGGCGTCGGGGGCAAGGGCTGTCACATCGAGTGCGATCGCCTCTTGGACTCGGACATTTCGGATGATGTCAGGTGCATACGCACCATACACGAGGAGCACACACGCATCTCCGGAGATGGCTTCACTGCGTGGACAGTGTACAATGGACATTGCAGGGATCGCAGCAGAGCTGAGATTGCCAGCTGCTTCGAGTCTAAGGAACTAGATAAGGAACCGGTTAGGCCAGCCAAGCCGGCAGACAATGAGCTGGTAAGGAAACCCAAGCCCAAGGGCAAGATATATAATCGCTGTGAGCTGGCGAAGGAGCTCTACTACAAGCACAAGCTGCCCATGCGGGAGATACCCACCTGGGTGTGCATTGCCCAGCATGAATCCTCCTATAACACGGCTGCAGTAGGTCGCCTGAATGCCGATGGCAGCGAGGATCACGGTCTGTTCCAGATCAGCGATCTCTACTGGTGCACGCACGGCGAGGGCGGTGGCAAGGCCTGTCACATTGAATGCGACAGTTTGCTGGACTCCGACATCTCGGATGATGTCCAATGCATCCGTACTATACACGAGGAGCACACACGTATATCTGGAGATGGCTTCAACGCCTGGACAGTTTATAATGGCCACTGCCGAGGCCAAAGCCTGGCACAGTTGAGCGATTGCTTTGCAGGCAACGAAATCTCCGAGGCGGAGAAGCCCAGCCATTATGGAGAGCGGCCACAAGTGCAAGCCCCACAACAGCAGCCGGTAGTAAAGATCGCAGCTAACCATGACTACGGTGCCAATCCTTTCCTGCAACATCTAAGCGCATCGCAGACAACGCAGGTGGTAGTCCAAGCTGTTAAAACAACTGCCAAGCCACCAGTCCAAATAACCGTGGTGCCTAATCTTCCTTTTGGTTCAAATCCCTTTTTACAACAACTGAAGCCCCAACAGCAAGCTCCACTGAGCACATCCGAGACTCGCCCTATTAAGTTTATTGATCAAGAGCATGTTTTAAAGTCTAGCTACGATCACAATCCTTTTCTGAAACCTCTTTATAAGCCTTCTGCTAATGCTATTCAATCCACAACGCAATACAAACCCACTTCCCACTTCAATCAAAGTCCATCCCATGTGCCTAATCCCTTTCTCAGCCTAGCTAATAAGCCAGACGTTAGTCCGGCTAAAATAAGCCCCACTTCCAAGCCCACGGCGGCAGCTAAGGTTACACATCATTCATACATAAGCAGCGACAGCTTTCGTCAAGAGGTCATTAAATTTACGGCCACATCGCCACATGATCTCCGGCAATCTACACAAGGAACAAACACATCACCAGCACCAAAAACAACACCAACTACAACCAAGCCAACAACAACACACAAAACAACAACTCGTGCAACTACAACCATTCGCCCCTTCACAACAGTCCGTCCATTTGCTATAAATAAGCCACCCACTACTTCGAAAATGACAACTCGCGCGCCAATAACTAGGACGTCGACAACAACACCTCTATTAATATCAACAACTCATCGTACAACAACAACTGCAATAAAAACCACACCTAATCATACAACAAAAGCTCAAAGTACGATATTAACAAGACAAACAACAACCAAATCCACAGCTCGCCAAACAACTACAAAATCCCCAACTCGTCAGACAACTACCAGACCCACGATCCGAGCTTCCACTGCCAGACCTGCGACTCGTTACACAACAACTAGAGTCCCAACTGGTCCAACGACGAGAATCCCAACAAGCCTCACAACAACAAGGCCTACAACTCGTCCTACAACCCGTCCTACAACCCGTCCTACAACTCGTCCTACTACGAGGGCCACAACAAAGACGACAACGAGATTCACCACACTTTCCACAACAGCGAGACCTACAACACGCCCTACAACGAGAGCCATAACACAGCCGACGACGACGAGATCGACAACGCGTTTCACAACAACGGGACCCACAACTCGTCTAACAACAAGAGCAACAACACAACAGACAACGAGATCAACAACGCGTTCCACAACAGTGAGACAAACAACTCGCCCTACAACAAGAGCCACAACACAACCAACGACAACGAGAATCACAACGCGTTCCACAACACTGAGACCCACCACTCGCCCTTCAACGAGAGCCACAGCACAGCCAACTACAACGAGATCAACAACTCGTTCTACAACCACCTGGCGGCCATTTACATCAAACTGGTTCTCAACAACTCGCTATCCAATAACAACAACTACTGCTCGTCCTAGCTTGAAGACATCCACCACCCCTAAGGCAACAACTCGCTCGACTACAACAGCTCGCCCAACCACCACCAGATGGCCTCAGTTCTACACGTCCCGCTTGAGTACTTCCACAACGCCTAGACCCTACCTTTTTACCTCGACAACAACAACTCGACGCCCCGCAACGACAGCAAGGAGTGCAACGACTAAGGATCCATTTGACCATCCATTCTTTGCGAAATTTAAGGCAACATTTGATACAACTCGCACGTCGCCATCAACTGTCACAAAGCCCACCGCGACGTCCACTCTGTCCAACCCAGGCAAATTCACTGCCAGCCCGTATTATGCCAAATTTAAGGAAAACAGCATCAAAGCGTCAGCCAAAACGGCCTATGCCTATGATTTTGGCCAGAATCGAACAACAACTACGATCCGGCCCTACCCGACAGCTAAAACAACGGCCAAATTGATCTGAGGTGGAACAAGAACTAAAATTTGGGTATATTGGTAGGGAAACTTGTAAATATGCGTGTAATGCGGCTAGTTTAGTTTGTATATTGACAGAATACTCATAAATTATTAATCTTAAGACACATAATTATGATTTAGATAATAAAACAAAAATACACCACACACTTAATACGCAAAATTAATTCAGTGCGGAGAGTGGAGAGTCAACCAGTCCGAAGACCTGACGACACGCTTACGGCTGCCAACAGCGGCCGCGACAGTAAGTGGATGTTTTTGATTAATTTCATTAACTTGTTTTTGGCCTGGTGTTAGCCTTGTTAACATAAACAGCAACAAAGGCATGCACACACGACAACAGCGAATGACGTGAGATAGCAAGTTACCAAATTATTGTGCATTTTGTGTTTAATTTCAATTAATTATTCTTCTTTTTCAGCAACTTAATGTTCTGCGTTTTAAATTTCATTGAATTGTACAATGACGTCATAAGAACCATTTTGAAATAGAAACAGTGCTGTCAAATATTGGCGCCTACACCAGTTCATCTTTTACAGCACTTTATATTATTTGTGGAGGCTGCTGATTGCCGATTATCTTATATGAATCGGTATTCCAACAGCTAGTGTAATTGTATTCTTAATATAAAAGAAATGTTGCTATTATTAATGCTACAATAAAATATATCTTTCAATAATATATATATTTCATAAGCATTAAAATTGGTTTTAGTATTTTGACCTTCATTTTGATGTCGTATTTAAATCGTTGCGAAAGCTGGTCACACTTATGAAAAAACTAATCTGCTTTCGGTGGACGGTTCGTAAACACTCAATTGTTGATTTTCGGCAATAAAAAAGTAACGTTAAACGTTCAAAATGCGCTCCAGTGAACCGAGTTCAAATGCAAAATGAATTGAAGTGAGTGCCTTTTTCAAATAAGCCACAAATTTCGAAAAACTACTGCAGCCTGTACCAGCACCAACACCAGCCAGCCGCCCGAAGATAGCGACAGTCATCGAGCGCCCTACTTAGCAACAATTGCTTGTTGCACTACATTTTTTTAAAAAATATTCATCCCGCATATATTATATTTGTTAAAGCCTACGTGTAGTAGGTCAAATATTGATACACGAAAATGCGTCGGCAAAACGTGAGAGAATTCCAGGACAGAGAATGACAATTGTTTAACTTATGTGAAGTCGGCTGCGCGCAAATTGTAACTCGCGTGAAGCTGGCTACGCGCAACTTTCCACTCAAGTGAAGTTGGCTGCACGCAGTTTTTACTCGCCTCGAATGAGCTGTACACCGTTTTAGGCTGGCAGTGCCTCATTTTTACTAGCGACATCTGGCGGCACAAGCAAAAATTTTCAGCGTTGCCTTTTGTCTCGCACTTTTATCGACGTCTGTGCCCCTTGCGCGTTGACTGTCGTTTTGCACGCGCATTCGTGAAAATGGCGGCGTTGTCGCTCGGTCGCTGCCAAATTTTTTGTACATCCAAAATAATCAAAATAAAGCGACAATAAATACAGTGCTAAACAAACTGTCTATGCCAGAGGCCGCGTGCGCGCGCGTGTGTGTGAAAATACAACAAAAGAAAAACGTTCTGGCTAACCCAAAGCAAATATTGTAACATTTAATCAGCTAGCGACAAGGAGTCAACGTCGTCGCCAGCGCAGCAGCAGCAGCAGCCGCCGCGTGAATAAGCGAGTGCAAGTGCGAGCGTTTTGCTGCGGTTTCGCTTGTCAGCGGAGCACCCAAAGGCTTTGGCCAAGGTGAATACGAATATAATTATGCTAAATTAGCAACGCAGCCTCTCGTTTGTCGGCTTTCACCTGCGTCCCACACCCGCTACCGCCCCTTCTCTCGTAAACATCTGCGGCAGTTGCAAGCGAAAGGAAAGAAAAAGAAAAAAACCACGCATTTGAGTTTTATGACCCACAGGTATATAACTGTGCCACAGCCAGGTAGTAGAAGCAGCTGCAGCCCCCGCGAGAGTGTACAAACAACAATTATGTGTAGATATTCCGCTATAAATACTAAAGTGACTAAAAATTTGCCTTGCAGTTTGCATCAAACGGCCACGCAGCATGCGACTGATAAACAAGAGCTGTAACAAGCACAACAACAACAGCAACAACAACAGCAGCAACAACATGATGCCACAGATGCACAGTTGATCAAGAAAACAGGCGGCTAAAGAACGTCACAAGCAGAAGAGTAACCGAACGGGGCCGCGTCCAGTTCCGGCTCTTCAAGCGCCAACGCTTCAACAAACGAAACCGCCACCGCAACCGGAACCGCCACGCAATGAATAGCAGCCAAACGGCGCCAACGGCCACATCGGCCAACAGCAATCGCATTACCTTCACCACTCAGCCGCTGCCCAATGGCACCATCAACATAGGTGGCCCAGGGGGCGGAGGTGTTGGCCCGACGATCATCTCAACAGCACAGCTGCCAAATACGACGACGATCAAGACCATCACGGCGGGCATTGGTGGACATGGGGTGCCGGGTCTGTCGCAAGTGCAGCATCAGGTGCATCAGCAGTCGCATCAGCAGCAACAGCAGCAGCAGCAAACGCAATCAGTAGGTGCCACCCAAACACAAACCTTAGTTATTAAATCCAATCACCATGCTGTCACCCTGCCGGCGGGTCTAGTATCAAGTGCACCAGCAGGAATCGTAACAATGACCAAGACCATCAATCAGGTATCCACCATCAAGCTAAACTCCCAACAACGTACTCGTATTGTAGCGAGGCGATGATAGTAGTGCGCCACATTCTGGCGCCATTCTGTTCGCATCTCTCTGCCTGCGTCCAATGGTTACTCCTGTTCCACACACTCACACACATACATATCCGCACTCTCCAATATTCTCTTCAGTATTCACTTTGCTTTCTTCTGTTGTCCATTTAGACGACACGATTAGCGTGCCTTACAAAAGTGCAACAGTGAACTCTCGATATATTGAACTGCCACTATATATTTAATCAGGCATTCATTTTTTAAACAATTGACAAATCTTACTTTCCAAAAAAGCTAAATTCGCTCGCTATATTGAAGGTTCACTGTATCTGAAAAAGGTTGTTGTATGCATATCGGTTGGTTGTTAAACAGCGTGTTATTTTTTGTTCCTCATTATACAAAAATTATGAATCCTACTTTTCTTTAAAAATTAAATTTCACCAATGAATATATTTCTCCCGCTGTCATACCAAATCCCTTTTGTCTTCCGCTAATTACTCTATGCTTTTAATTAAAAGATATAATTTTTGTAGATTTTCCATGTGAACAAAATGCTTTTAAACGGTCGCTTCTTTGTAGTACAACTCGTAGACGTCTTTCGAATTGGCCAGCACACATCTTAATATCTCATTTTCATCTCATCATTTTATAAGAAATTCATACCAAATCAATTATTATAATGTATTTTGTGAACACACACAACTTCCGTGCACATTTGTTTGACTGTGATCTGTAAGCGAATGAACTGAGACCCACGACAATACGTGAAATGAAGCGACTCTCGTGATCTGCTGCATGTTGTAGTGAAACAAACCAAATCCAAAACAATAACTTAAACCTATCAAAGCTTTTGTAATACGCCTATAGAAAACCAATAATGCAATGTTCTATTTATGATCTGACTAATCCCATCACGTATTCCACAGACCGGGCAGCCGCTGCTTAACTCCATGCTGCCGGCCGGCGTTGTGGTCGGCATGCGGCCGCAGGCGCCGACGCAGCAGCAGCCAAAGAACATGCCCGCCAATCCGCTGAGTCGCGTCGTCATCAGCAACTCTCATATGGGTGGCGTTAGGCCACAGAGTCCATCGGTAAGTGTGACTAGAAAATGGGAAAATGCGTGTATCTGTAAGGAAAACTCTTGAGTTTTGTTGTTGTGGTGGGCTCTTCTCTACTAATCCACAAGGCTCCCTAATACAGCGCACACACATGCACCCAAACCCCAACCACCCACCCACCCACTCACATACACAGTCACACACATACACACACATACACATATGTACATATACATGCATTTATATCAGCGGGTACGCCTTGTACTTTGAACTATTCTCTGTCTATTCTCTCTCTCTTTATTTTAGATAACTTTAGGCACACTTAATACAGGACAAACGCCTGCACTGTTAGTGAAAACGGATAATGGATTTCAGTTGTTGCGCGTGGGCACGGCCACATCGACGGGCCCGCCGACGATGACACAGACCATATCTAACACCAGCAACAACAACAATAATAATAACAACAACAACAACACCACCACAACAACAACAAATCATCCCATAACCACACAGATACGTCTGCAAACTGTGCCGGCTGCAGCTGTAAGTAGATATCATGGCCAATCGTCATCCCAACAACAACAACAACAGCAACAAACGCAGCTGCAGCAACAGCAACAACAGCAACAGCATCAAACAACGACACAAGCATCCTCACAAGCAACAACTGCCAGCACTAGCATAGCACTGCGCAAAACGATTGTCCGTACATCATCCACAATCCTCCCATCCAGCAATAATAATGTTAATAATATCACCACCAATACCACCACCACAACCACTACCAACAACAACAACAACAACAACAAACCCGCTACTAACCTGCAACAGCAGCAACAGCAGCAGAAGCTACAGCTACAACTGAAGCAGCAGCAACAGGCACAGCAACAACATAAGCAACAGCAGCAACAGGCCTCAGCCAGCGCCAGCAGCGCAGCCGCCGCGGCCGCCGCAGCTGCTGCGGCAAATGTCGCGGCCACAATTAAGATCAAGCAAAATGTAAAAATCAAAGCTTAACTTGTTTAGAAATGGAAATTCGCATAGTTTCCAATATTTTATATATACTTTATATATTCTATAAAACGCCTCTCTCTTGTCTGTTTATGCATTTGATCTGTTTTTTAACGCTACGCTTCAGTTTTCAATTTTGTTTAGACTTTCGGCCAGACTTCGAGCAATCGACTGTCCGCCCAACTTTTTCAATTTTCATTTCAAAATAAGTATCTTATATAATATATATATACATATATAATTGTACTTTTGCTCAGTTTTGCATGCTGCGTTGTAACTGTCTGTGTATTTGACTTGACGTATTCTTTTGATTTAGTTATTCGCTGTGGAAAACGCGTTGCTGTTCGTTCTTTTCGAAAATCAAAAAAAAAAAAAAAAAATCATTCAACTCTATTTTATCATTTAGAAATTAAGAAGCATTATGATCATGAACTGGGCACCGAAGGCTATTCGGGCTCCGAATGGGGGTGTGTTATCAAAAGAAAACAAAAACATTTTAAACAAATTCAAAAATTAATTTAAATATGTTTTCAAACAATATTTTTTGGCACTAACTTTATATGTTACTCCATTATTAATCACTAAAACATCAACATCTGACCCGCACACAACTTGCACACAACTTACACACACACACACACATACACCCACTAATAGGAGCCCGTAGCCCATGTGCGCCTCCATAAGAGTCACTCAACTATTTTCTGGTTTTAACTTTTCGCTTATCGCTCTTTATTTGCACCGACTGCGCACAGTTGCTTCAAACATTTGTTTGTTAATCTATAATGTTTATTTTAACCACAGTCGATGACCAGCACTACCGCCTCCAGCAACATAATTGTCAACTCGGTGGCCAGCAGCAATGCGCATAGTTTTAGCAGCGCCTCACATCCGCCGCACTTAGCGCAGCTCCAGCAACAGCATCAACAACAGCAGCCGCATTTGCCGCAAGTAACGCAAATCCAAACGATACCAGCCGCACAGCCGCATTCGCAAGCGAACAACGTGCAGGTGGCATCTGCAGCGGCGGCAACGGCGGCAGCGAATGCGAACGCAACAACAACGACAACGGCTGCGCAGGGCAATACCAAAGAAAAGTGTCGCAAGTTTTTAGCCAATTTAATTGAATTGTCGACACGCGAACCGAAGCCGGTGGAGAAAAATGTGCGCACGCTCATCCAGGAGCTGGTCAATGCGAATGTGGAGCCGGAGGAGTTTTGTGATCGCCTGGAGCGTTTGCTCAACGCCAGTCCACAGCCGTGCCTCATTGGGTTTCTCAAGGTAAGCAATGATCGTATGTTATTATTTGTTTTACTAATGTGTGTTTTCATCTGCAGAAAAGTCTGCCACTGCTGCGCCAGGCTCTCTACACCAAGGAGCTGGTCATTGAGGGCATTAAACCGCCGCCACAGCATGTACTGGGATTGGCTGGACTTCCGCCACAGCTTCCGGTAAGTCATGCCTAACTCTCAATCAATCGAACTACTATTAACCCCACAATCTTTCCACAGAAAATTCAAGCGCAAATCCGTCCGATTGGACTCAGCCAGACGACGACCATCGGACAGACGCAGGTGCGCATGATAACACCAAATGCATTGGGCACGCCGCGGCCAACCATTGGCCATACGACGATATCCAAGCAGCCGCCAAACATTCGATTGCCCACAGCACCGCGTCTGGCCATACGCGGCCAAATGCCTTCGCTGCCAATGCCCGCGCAGGCGGTAAGTATAAAACTGAGATCTGCCCCTAAGCAATCAGACTCTCACTTCCCATATCCATACAGAACATTGTGCAAATCCGCGGCCCGCATAACGCACAGCTGCAGCGCCCGGGATCGGTTCAAATACGTGCTACGTCCCGTCCGCCAAACAGTACGCCCACGAACAAAGTCACTGCCGTCAAAGTTGGTCAGACGCAGATCAAGGCCATAACGTCCAGTTTGCATCCGCCCTCACTGGCGGCCATATCATCGAACAGTGGACCACCGCCAACGCCGACGTTATCAGTACTATCGACGATAAATTCAGCATCGACGACATCGTTGCCGGTGCCATCGTTACCCACAGTTCATCTGCCGCCGGAAGCGTTGCGTGCACGCGAACAGATGCAGAACTCACTGCATCACAACAACAACAATCACTTTGAGCCAAAGCTCGTTGAGATTAAGGCACCGCAGCTGCCGCATATGGAGCGCATCAATGCTTCGCTGACTCCCATTTCGGCCAAGACGATGCCCCGTGGTGCGATGCCCATGGCGAACAAGTCGGCGAATAAAAAGAAAAGAGACGCAATCGATCGGGATAGCAAGGATGAGAGGGCAAACAGCGGTAGTGGGATGGCGGGGTCAGCAGCGGCTGCGGCCGCCAATTCGTTTTTCCAGCAAAGCTCCATGTCATCATCGATATATGGCGATGATGATATTAACGATGTGGCAGCCATGGGCGGTGTTAATCTAGCCGAGGAATCGCAGCGCATTCTGGGATGCACGGAGAACATAGGCACGCAGATACGGTCCTGCAAGGATGAAGTGTTTCTCAACTTGCCAGCGTTGCAGGCACGAATACGTGCGATAACCGCGGAACGTGGCTTAGATGAACCTTCGCAGGATGTTGCCGTGCTCATATCGCATGCGTGCCAGGAACGGCTCAAGAACATTGTGGAGAAGTTGGCTGTGATAGCGGAGCACCGCATTGATGTCATCAAGGTGAGTTCATGCGCTCACTACTCTGCAATTCATCTTTTAATAAAACCTGCCTAACCCACAGTTGGATCCACGCTATGAGCCCGCGAAGGATGTACGCGGTCAAATCAAGTTTCTGGAGGAGTTGGACAAGGCTGAGCAGAAGCGACACGAGGAGCTGGAGCGCGAAATGCTACTGAGAGCGGCCAAGTCCAGAACGCGCGTCGAAGATCCCGAGCAAGCAAAGATGAAAGCGAGGGTAAGAAACAATGATTCCTGAAATTTGTTTTTTCTCATCTTCCACAAATTACTTTTTCCAGGCGAAAGAAATGCAGCGTGCGGAAATGGAAGAGCTGCGACAGCGCGATGCGAATTTGACGGCACTGCAGGCAATTGGACCACGGAAAAAACTCAAACTGGATAGCGATGCGGCCGGTGTGGGCGTGGTGAGTAACATGAACTTACCAGCGACCATTCGATTGCTTACTCAACAAACATGGCATCTGCTCTACACACACAGGGTTCCAGTGGCGGCGGTCTGTTGAGCAACTCCGGTACGGCGACTACAACGTTGCGGCCGCGCATCAAGCGTGTCAATCTGCGCGATATGCTCTTCTTTATGGAACAGGAGCGCGAGTTTTGTCGCAGCTCGTTGCTGTTCAAGACTTACCTCAAGTGATCGCTGCTGGCGCCGCTGTTGTTCACATACCTACGTACCCATACGAGCTCTCCTGCGCCTACTCCTGCTCCAACTCCAACTCCAACTCCTGCTCTGGCTTCGGCTCCAGCTATCATTCTTCTATTAGCGTCTAGCAGCTGCGTTCATCAATTTGCAATATTATTTAGCTGTCAGATTTAACTGCGTCGTCCCTTTGTTGTTTTAGTTAGGCGCCCTATTTAAATAACTATGCGTAGAAATACCAACTAAATTGTAATTAAAAGTTTTTTAAATCTAATTTACAAATCGTTTTCCAATTAAATAGCCAGCAACACTTAAACCAAACCAATCCAAAAACACAAAAGAGAAACCAACAACAACAACAACAACAACAAAACTCACAGTAGCAAAAACAAAACAAAAACTCAACGTGCAGTCAGCCAGCGTTTGATTTTGTAATTTTTAACATAATTAATTGCATTAATTGCATTGACGGCCTTATCTAAACGATATAAACATATAAATAATATGATTAAATTGTGTAGCTTAGTTTGTTAAACGAAATCGAGCGTAAATTCTAGACTTAAGTTAGATTGCGGCATTCAAGTCGTAGAACATAACATGGTTTTTAAAACCATCATGGCAAGCAAAAAGAATAAAAACAGAGAATACAATTAAAAACAAATAAAAAAAAACACAAAGCAAAAGGAGAAATATACACATAATATGGCATAATACATTGAACTAGTTGTAGTTGTTTAAACAAATTGATGTAATTTTAATTAGCTTATGTATAAAACAATTAACAGAAACAAATGGTAACAAAAAAACAAAATACACGTGTAAAAAGTCCAGACTAAGTTTTTTCTATAGTTTAACTAGGTAAACGCAACGTAATTAACAAATTTACGGCAAAGAACTAAAACCCGAACGTAGTTTTAGACACTAAACATATGGTTTTTTATTAGTGACGCGTTCGTTCAACCAAAATGGTTCATCCAATCAATGGATTATGTGCATATTATAATGTTCTAGCAGGCGGTTCTTTAATTGAACATATTTGCACCAGCCACAAAATAGTTAAATTTTATACAAAGTAAACAAACGAAAATTGTAAAATACATTTATATTCGACTACGTTCATATTTAAAACAAATACAAATTTAAATTCTGTGTGTGTGCTAAACAGTTACAATATGATCAAGCGAAAAACCAACAAACAAACAAAAAGAAAAGAAACAGTCGAAAACAACAAAAGTAAAGAGCGCATAGTTTAGTAGTCATATAACTAAATATATTATATACATCTATAAATATATACATACATATTATGTTTTACAATTAATAAATACAAAAAACCTATTGTATGTATAAATTAAGTTTAAAATGAGAAAAACCTAAAAAAAAACTAAAAACAAAATACAACAAAAAAATAAAACAAACTTCAGAAAAACTAAAATTTGCCGCAGATTAATCATTTTGAATGTTGAGAATGTGTAACGGTATCTCAGTTAATTAGCTAGTTAATTCATTATATTGTATGTAGTTGAATTTACCAATTTTTTATTGCTATTTTTTGTATTCATTTTATTATTATTAATATTATTATGATCATAATTATTATTATTATTATTAACATCAAAATAAAACCAAATGGATATTTGGACCCAAATTATCTGCCCCATCGTCAGCTGCGAATGTCGTTTAGCTCTTGCTTTTATTTTCCTGTTTAATTTCCCTTTTAGTATATAAACAACGCATTTTGTTTTTGTTTCATTTCAATAGTTTCTGCCATTAACTTTATTATTGTTTCATTCATTATTATCAACATTTGCAATTACCTACTGTGACGGCTAATTAGTTCGTATGTGTCTAAGTGTTTTGTTTTGCTTTTATTTTATACCTTTCGCTAAACTTTATGAATTTTAAGTTTCGCTTAATTAACTACACCCCCGATGCGACGGCGCCTGCTAATTCATCTGATCTGGCGAATTGCAAATATTCCTTTACATCGTAGTCGAACAGATCAAAGTCAAAACTGTGAGTATAAGATAAGTTAAGGTTCGTTTACCATTTAGTTCTTATCGCTGTTTGACTCACCGATAATATTCGTATAGTTCCATCATCTCCTGCCTGGTGAGCTGGGAATAGAACTGCTGTTGCAGCTCCTGTGTCTTTCTGTCTCCTTTGCCCATGTTGCGCCAGACGGGCGCTATGACGCGCTGGAGGCCAGTCTTTTCGATTAGATATAGTTGATCCTCTGCCAACGATTCGAACTTCAATATCATATCGAATCGAATCAGGCAGGGCGTGCAGAACGATGTGGCCGATACAAAGTGCATGTCTATATAGTTGCCCCGCTTCACCTGATCCAGCAGCCAGTGCACGAACTCTGGAAACGATGGATACTTTGTAGTGCCAGCACGTGAGATCAGCTTGGGCTGCAATGGATGCAAACAAGTTAGGTGAACATTGGTATATATGTATATTCTTGTACAGCACCTTCTTCCGATAGGTCCGCACAATGCTGCGGCCCAGCTTGTCATGAAAGGAATAGGGCAGCGCGAACACGATTTTGTCTCGATAGGCGCTCAGCAGTCTCTCGAAGGGGTTTCTGGCTATGATAAATGTAATTGAATCGTTCTGCGCCTCGTGCAGCTGCAAAGAAAATCAATTAATATTTCAAATTGGGAATTATTAGGGATCTCACCTCTTGCAGCGTTACGCGTGGATAACGCTCTCTGGCCAGATTGAGCAGAATCTTTTTGGTCTTAAGCAAATAGCTCGGCGTGTAGCCGGCCAGCACGTTGAAATTGAACATCCAGGATGAGGAGGCCGCCTTGAAGACATTGCACCTGCAATCATTGGACGCACATGCTCTAATACAGCTATCCGTTAACAGTGCAGAGCTGCTCTTACCATATAATATGATATTTTTTATTAACCAAAAACTCCCAAGTGTTGGGCGTATGCCAGGAATCCTGGCCTGTAATTATAATACACACTATTCATAGCACCTATAAAGAGTCGTAAATGTTATTTGTCAAGCCTCACCCAACACATCCAGTCCGAACTCGGAGCACTTGTCCTTCAGTCTATTGAGCCGCGCCTCCATACGCTGCGCCCGCATAAAGATAAAGCGTATATGGTATGTAATAGTTGTTAACAATGGCCATTATGGTAAGCCCAAAAGCACCTACCACGGACATTTCCTGCATTTCCTCCTCCGAAAGCGACTGCACCGCGTAGTCGGGTATGAGCGAGAGTCCCGTCTCATTGTTGATCTGTTGGAGTAGTTGGGAGCAAGTGGATAAATAAGCGATTGGTTGGGTTAGGCTGACAGCCTGACAGGCACTTAATGACTATTTTTATAAGCAAATGTTTTCGAGGAGGAGGAGGAGCAGGAACCTGAAGACGGGCCATGCCAAGCCCAAAGCAACTGCCAATCATTCATTTTAGGGATAGATAACAGATAAGGCCAAAGAATTTTAATTCCTGCGCGCTTTTTTAATGCACCCATAAATTTGACGGTTGAAATTGTTTTTGTGTGTTGCTGTTGTTGTTGTAGTGTTTACTTTGCCATTAACAATGTGTGTGTGTGGGTAAATATTTACTTTATCAACATAGCGCCACTTATTCTTAGTCTTGCCCGTTGCGACCACGGTTAGCTCCTTGTTTTTGTTTTTGTTCAGCAGCAGCACAGGATAACGAAATGTTTGACCCGCCGGCTGCTGCTGTTGCTGTTGCCGCTGTTGCTGCTGATGCTGCTGCTGCTGCTGCTGTTGCTGCTGTTGCTGCTGCTGTGGCTGTTGCGCATTAAAAGCCTAAAAAAGCATTTGCATTTAGACGTGTTACACAGAGAAACGGTTGCTTAAATGCAAACATGACGTGGCGTATGCGTAATATACAAGCGTTTCGGTTATGATGCTCAGCAAAGCGGTCCTACATAAATGCATAAAGCACTGCTCAAGGCGCAACCACTGACACCGCTGACACTGATGACCCCGCTGACACCGCTGACACCGCTGACAGCGCAACTGACTCATGTCGCTGGCATGCCAGTGTCAAGGTAGCCTCAACGAGCCCAATTAAAATCCCACTGGGCAGCTCTGTCAACTGGCATCGTTATAAATCTAGATGATTGTTTAGCGGTCATTGTGGCGCGTATAACTATACCCTGCTTTCAAACTGTTGGTGGGTAGGGTATATCATATAAAACAGTAGGCAAAACCAAACAAAAAGCAGAATAGTTTGGAACTACTTATGAAAATTAACTTAAGCTTGACATGCAAATTTACATATCTTTCGATTTCAATACATATAAAGATATAGTTGAACTCTTCTAGTTTTTAAAGTTTATTACTTTATTATCTTAAATTATAATCCCATATTTATAATTACAATCTTAAGGCTCTACTTTGGCCAGCTGCAAATCTGGACATAGCCTACTTTTAAGCGCAGCTAACTTTCACACATTTAATTCTTATGTACGACGTATCTCTTAGTCGATCACACAGGATTATAGCAAATTATTTCGCAGCAAAAGTGGCGCTATGTGCATGACATGAACTGTGGCAGGTTAATACATACATATGTGTATGTGTGTGTATATGGGAGATGTGATATGTGGGCGTGATGTGGGCGGTCGGTCTGCCGCTTAAGCAGCACTCGGTGCCTGCGCGCGTGTGTATGCGTGTGTGTGCGTAGGTGAGTTTGGTGTGTTACGTGTTAGACGCTGTGCCTAATTATGCCAATGTTGAGCACAACACGGCGTATGCGTGCTTTATTTCTTTTATTTCACGTGCTTTGTGCCTGCCTAAGCATTAAGTCACCATTGTTAAATACAGAAACAAATTAGAGGCCAACTTTCCATTAATATGCGTTTGTCTTGGTGCCAAACATCGATTTTCCTGCGCCTCTGACGTGTCCTGTGCAAGTGCTGCTTCCCGCCAAGGCAATTAAATTCAGCCCACGCGAATGTTCTTAAATGCAAGTGGCCTAAGGACATAATTGCAATGCGCAGGGAGGAGGAGGGAGGCCGACGCCTTTGTGTCTGGCAAGCAAATATAAAGAAGCTAAAGGCAAAGCATTGCCTAGGGAGGCGTTCAATAGTAGGCGTGCCGATTCCACATTTAAGTGTCAATTGTTAATTGGCAATGAGAAATTTCACACACACACACACACATACACACACAGCTGACGGCAGGCCTGAACAAAATTTCGTTTCAATTTGCACTTTTTAAGAGCGCTCTCTAGAAATGGGCCCCCCGTGATACGCCTCGAGTCGGCTTGCTAAACGTGTAACGAGGTGTTAAAAACTTTGATAAATAAACAAGCGTAAATAATGAAATTTAATTAAGCATTTGCGAATTTCCCATTCTCACTGTTTGAATACGGCAAATATATATCTAGAACATTATTATTGTATCTGGCGAATGCCCTTCACACAGCACGCGTGCCTATTCACGGCTATACGAATGCGATTAAGGCCCCAGCAGATGCTCTTCACGTATCTAGTATAAACTAGATCTTCGAAATTGTACAAATTTGCTAAATTACGAATAGAAAGAGAACTGAGAGCATATAGGTGCATAGTGTAATATATATATGTGTATATGTATATATTGAGCGTAGCCAAAACTATTACAGGGTATAAAAAATACTTATTTCTTCTGGAAAGTACCCAAATTTGTTAAGTTTTGTATATAAAGGGTAACTAAGCATATAGTTGCCTTTGCGAAATTTGTATTTAACCAATATAATTAGATCCCTCTAAGTCATACCCTAAGTTACAAGTCATTATGGGATTTTTCCGCTCGGAAAGCTTTTGCCCAAGCGCCATTAGACATTGATCTATTGCTTAATGCTTCACAATTGATTTGCTGGAATTGTTATAGGGAGTTTTTATGGGGCTGCGTAATGCATTGAATAACGAGCAATCGATTGGCGGCAATGTGCTTGTTGTCAGGGGCAGCCCCTGCAAACATTTGCGCCACATTTGTGGCATAATCCAAAACAAAATGTGTTTGCAGGGCACTTCAAAGCTTCCAGGCTACCAGCTAACAACAACTACAAAGGTGCTTACGACCTTGGCCAAACACACACACACACACACACACAACACTATCCTACATGAATGTGTGTTGTGCTTGCTGTGCAATTTTACTATATATACTATACATGTACATATACAACATACTATAAGATATATATATATATATATATATGAATATATACATAAGCATAGGGGGGCACACACTCACCTCGTATCCCTTAATCTTCTGCAGCTGCTCATTCCATACCAAATAGATGAGCGATAGGGGCAGCAATAGGAGCGATAGG